GTTATTTGACATTTTAATCAATGGACCAACTTTCATTTTCAAGGCAAATTTTGATTAATTCCGTTTAAACGTTCCAAAGTGTATTGACATTAATAAATACATTATTAACTTATAATAAGCAATTGTTATTTATAGCTTTGTTTGGTAAACATTTCAAATGTATCATTTAATCAATGGACCAACTTTCATTTTCAAGGCAAATTTTGATTAATTCCGTTTAAACGTTCCAAAGTGTATTGACATTAATAAATACATTATTAACTTATAATAAGCAATTGTTATTTATAGCTTTGTTTGGTAAACATTCCAAATATATCATTTAATTAATGGATCAACTTTCATTTTCAGGCTAAATTTTGATCAATTTCATTTAAACGTTCCAAAATATGTATCATTTATTAACTGATTATAACGAATAATAGTATACTTTATAATTTTTTTGGATAAAAATTGCAATTATATTATTATATTTTTTTAATCAATCTTTTTTTCTTTATTTTTGAGTATCTTGAAAGGTAAATTTTGATCAATTAATTTTTAAAAATATATAAACATTAATAAATATATTATTTCAGTTAATCAAATTACAACTAGCATTTACAAGTTTTTCTTGGATGAAAATATTCCAAATATATATTATATATTATTATTTAATCGATTATGATGATACATATTATTTATTTAATTCTTTAATTGATCAATATGGCTGACTTCATAATCACTCAATACCAAATACGTATTTTCATTTCTTCATTCATTCGATCCATTCATCAATTTCACTTATCCTCAAATTTTTCCACTTTTCTCGCTTATTACGGTTAATTCAGCCTCCCTCTTCAATGTGTACGTTTACGTCACACAGTTATAAACGACCTATAAAATAAACAGGGAAACACATTTTACATTTACGAGCAAGCTTTGACTCTCGAACGTTCGAAACACTTGGATGGGCGCTAATTTAAGGAAAATGAATTGCCTTCATCGTTAGCTTTTCCCCCACGCCATACTTTCCTGCATCTCTGGCAAATTAAGCTTTTGAACTTCAACTTAGTTTTTGCTCGTTCAGCTTTGGAAATATATATATATATATATAAAACTAAATGCAACTTCAATCTTCCCTTTTCGATAAGTGCAAATCAGTCAAAGAAAT